GAGAGAGAGAGAGAGAGAGAGAGAGAGAGAGAGAGAGAAAACAGACATAATAACTTTCACACAAAAATACAAAAATAGAAACAAAAGAAACATGAAAGAAAGTAAGAGACGTGGGAAATACAAGCAGACAGACGCACGGATAGAGACGAGACGAGATTAAATAGACAGACCAAGGCAAGCACCCACAGCTTCTGAATCTCCTACAACACAAGAATATCGTTTTTCTCTACTCACCGACTTGTCAGCAAATCCTTCATCCTGTGTCAAGTCTCTGGACGCGTCATCACCACCGTCATTACTCCCCTTGGTCTTAGCGCCATCTTGTGCACTGTTACTGATGACGTAACCCACACTAGGTTTTTCAGCTTCAAGCTTCTCCACTTCAGGTGACATCTTTGCCCTATTTTGGATGTATTTCCTTCTCTGCGTGTCTGCTCGACGTATGACGACAATGGTGATGATGACAGCGACGGTTACAACTCCCGTGACCACGCCCAAAATGATGACAACTAACACGTGCTCCTTCTCCTTATCCTGACCGGCACCGGCTGTTTCATTTGGAGCAAAGATTACTACGTCGAAAGAAGAGTTGGAAGCAAGAGGAAAGGACTTACTCTTGTCTGTAACGACGATCGTCAGTCTATGGCGACCAACGTCTTGAGGCGTAAGTTCCCTCGTTAGAATCAAATCCCCCGTGTCCCGACTCAGCTCAAACATGGCTCGAGCAGAATTCGAAGCGAGATGGTAGACCAACTTTTTGTTGGGTCCGTCATCCGCATCCTCTGCGAGAATAGTCAGCACAACAGATCCACGTTTCGCGTCGAAAGATACGGCCACAGAGTTGTTCCCGTTTCGAGGGTAGATGATTCGAGGGTGGTGGTCATTCTGATCTCGGACTTTGATCTTGACCTGGGCCGTGCCTGTGAGCGCAGGAACTCCACTGTCTGTGGCGAGGACAGTCAGAGCGTAGACAGGTTTCATTTCCCTGTCCAGAGACTCTTTCGTCACTATGAGGCCGTCTGCGAGAATACGAAAGGGGCTCATCTTAGGGAGAAGGGAGTACGAAATCTTCCCGTTGTCTCCACTGTCTTTGTCGTCTGCTGAAACACGACTGAGACTCGTGTTCGCAGGCATATTCTCCGTAACCTCGAAGTTGTACTGTAGAGATTTAAACAGCGGCGCCTCATCATTCAAGTCTGTTACCGTAATAATGACGTCAGCCGTTCTTGCTTTCTGAGGCGTTCCGTTATCACTTGCCATAACCTTAAACCTCAGAACAGCCTTCTCCTCGTGGTCAAGCGGCTTGACCGCTACAATATTCCCCCTGTCGTCTATCCTCAAGAACTCTTCCGCGTCGATCAGGTTGTAGGTCAGTCTCGCGTTCTCTCCTACGTCATCGTCTTTGGCATCCACTCGCAGCAGGATCTGACCAGGCCGGTTGTTCTCGGGCATCGTGATCTCGTACACGGCCTTGCTGAAGTAAGGGGCGTTGTCGTTCTCGTCCTTCACCTGAGACCAGAAACATTGATCAGTTAACTTAAAAGACATGATAAGACAGGACACATTAAAATAAGATGGATAAGGTGTGATCAGATGGGGCACAATACGACCACGGTGTAAAAGATGTGATAAGACAAGGCACTTTAATTGAGATGCGCTTATACAAGACAAGATCAGATGAGTTAGAAAAAAAATTTCTCAGAAAGGAACTGTTTATTTCAAATAACACACTTTTCCCTGCGGCTTGCTAACCGTTATCGCATTCTTGTACTTCTCGTTACTAAGAAATACACATTTATTTGATTAGCGTTACTGTAAATTTATTATTCCCATATCCACACGGTTTTGGAGGCCGCTTGCCTCAATCCTACATCAACCTGTGAGAGTCATCTAAGGCTATGAGGACTACGTTCGAGTCGAACAAAGGGGGATACTATTTAGTATACTTTGTCCTTTGTGAATCTACATTGTGTTTTTTTGGTGTGTAGTGGAAGATAATGAGTCTGATGAAAGAGAATTGCTGAATCCTTTTCAGCAAACAAAGAAATGCAAAAACTCAACTGACCGGGACCTTGAAATACCATAAAAAAAGCAATACAAAGTCCAACTGACCTTGACTTTTAAATAATTTTCCATAAAACAAAGCAAAACAAAAACCTCAACTGACCTTGACGAGAAATGTGACGGTGTCCGAGAGTGGCGGCGATCCGGCGTCCTGGCACAAGACACTGACGTTGTGCACAGGCTCGCTCTCCCTGTCAAGACGACGCACCACGATCACTTTGTACTCACTCACAGAGCGAGGCTGGAGCTCGAAGGCGTCACTCACGATAGAGCAGGACACGATACCTCTGTGGCCTGCGTCGTGGTCCACTACGTTCAGGAGCGCTACCACGGTGCCTGGGGGAAAAGGAGGGGGGGGGGGGG